GACCAGGATCGACTTGAAGAAAGTCGATTGTGACTCGATTGCCCGCATATTATTCACATCAATCGACTCACAATCGACCAGTTGTTGAGTCGTTTCATATAAGTGAATAATATGAATTCAATCGAGTAATAATCGACTCAAGGATCAGTCGATTCGCCCACTGGAATTATGAAAACTATTATGAAACGACTAAACAACTGGTCGATTGTGGGTCGATTGACTTGAATAATGAGGACAATCGAGTCACAATCGACTTTCTTCAAGTCGATCCTGGTTCGACCGTAAGAAGTCTTTTATAATCGACCACCCCATGAGTTGTTCAAGTTTTGGTGCAATAAATTTTTGTCATTCGAAATTCACTAGCTATCGACTTCCTATGAAGTCGATTCATCTTCCATTCCATCAATAATTTGAGATCTGAATCGAACAACACTCGCATACGAATCGATATACTGATCAACTCGATTCTACAATCGACAGTCGATCGAATCTCAATCGGGGGATTCGCCAGGGTTCATCAACAATTCAATAAGTCATTAGCATTTGAAAAAAAAGTAAAAAGTGTCCATTTTACCCCATCCTCCCCTAAATAACAAATTATTAAGTTCAATTGGATTAGACGGCAGCTTTTTCTTCACATCTTTTTCGTTTTTCTGGATTCATTAGGAGTATAAAAACGTAATGACAGTTGATAGTGATTTGTGAGGTGAATAAAGCTAGCGTTAACGTTGTCAACAATAAAATTACCGGAGGGTGCTTTTACTATAATTATTGCATTGTTTACTCGACCTTCGAAGAAATTACTATTAGTAATAATTGATTAGAGAATTTTAGGGTAAATTTTATTAGAAATTGACACGTTGGATTGGATTAATTTTTTAATTCAAAGAATTTGACAAACAGAATGACATTGAATTCGGTTGAACGAAATAGTATAGGAGAGAATCGTGCTGAAGGACTTGATGTACGTCTTGTGGACTATGTTTATGTTGTTTGGGTTGTTTTTCAGGAGATAGCTGAAATCCTATAGAGAAGTTTGGTCCTGGTGAGGGGCTCTAGGAGAAGCTCGGCCCTGACAATATCACTGGTGGAATTAGGACTGGGGATGAGGCAACTCCGTGCAGGTGCCCCGTTGAGGTGTCCTCTGAACCCTACAGAAAGGCGTTGTAGGGGACTGTAGGGAAAGCACAGTCACTGGGCTTGCAGTCCTTTCCGAGATTCGTAAAAGACAGAAAAAGCGTACATCTGGAATTTTAAATTAAATCATTAAAATGTCGTTTCTTGATATGGATCAACTATTAAAAAACTCTTTTTCCTATTAAATAACACTTTATTGACGAAGTCGTGAAATCTCTTACATTTTTTAGATGAGACAAATGTATCAATTCATAGTCGTATTAAAATTTTATTTCGCCAATTACTCGTATGCGCAATCACGCAAACTTATTAATTATCTTAAAAATAATTCGATAAAGGGATTGATAAGGTTAACTTGAAAATACGGTACCATACTCATGTTAAATGAAATTAAGAATTCCTCGAGAAGGATCGAAGTTATGAAATGGATTCAAAAAGATTCAGATTATTTACATACCGTAAGTTTTCGATGAAAGCGTAATGTCTCCACGACCAGGGACACGATTCCGATCGCTTGTGACAGTGAGAAGTAAGATAGTTGTCATTTGTTTACTATGTTGACACAAAGTAAAACAAAAGCTCCCATTTCGCTTCTCAGTGTCACAAGCGATCGGAATCAGACCCCAGATCTCAGTATCCGCTCATCAGCCATAACAGTTACTATGCTGTGAATTGTTCAACTTAGATTCATTCAGGGGACCTTAGCATAGAGGGTCCGATGATGTGAGGTAGCAGCAGGACATGTTTTTTGATTTTTCAGTGATTGACTCCGTGTGTAAAAATATGGAAAGTAGTGATGAATGTCGTGAACAAAAAGACCTTCTCCGTTGATAACCTCTCATTGAATATCCATATTATGGGGACAACTCCGAAGTAACGTCACTGCGTTGATAGCAAACATTGTATCATTGTTATTTCAATAAATAATACTCTTATGATCGTAGTGATCAAATTACTCCGTTATTATTCTACCTGAAATTTATTTTTCCATGGAATAACATCGAAAATTAACAATGTATCACCACGGTAAATTGCTATGAAAATTTTTATTCCGACATTTCACTTCAATCTTTATGGTTATTGTAATTGACTAATATTTACGTGACTTTCCATGTCACCTTTTGTATATTTTTCAAGAAGTACTTAGGACTTAATAATATTTAATATTTAATTACAACGAAAAATATTTTGGAGTAATCTACTCATGGCGCTCACGTACATATTAACAGTCTTCTTCTTCAATCATTATCGCACTGATTAAAATCTGTCTTGCAGCCGGATGTATTAACAGTAACAGAAAATTGAAGTGCAAATCTTTTTTTTCGGGGGGGAGGAGGGGGAAACACAATTGGATCACTTGACTATGGAATAGTGTGAACATAAATTGAGAAAACTTTATTTTCATTATTATAATAGAAATAGTTATTCTTAACCGTTCATACGGCTTGATTCATTGCAACCTTTAAGAGTCTTCATTATTTATTATTCAAAAAAAAAATGTAATTAGTTGGAAAAATATTAAAAATATTACTTTTTTAGTTTTTCTTTTATGTAGTTGATAATAAATCGTTTGTAGATAATGAATCAAGTCGTATTAACATTTAAGAGTAATTATTTTTGTTATAAGAATGAAAATAAAGGGTTCCAATCGTGTTCACACTATTCCATAGTCACGTAATCCATCACCCCCCCCCCCCAAAAAAAAACCTTTAATTTCCTGTTTCGTAAACACCATCAGTCTATCACTCCAAAATATTTTTCGGAGCAATTGAATATTATTAAGTCCTAAATACTTCTTGAGAAATATAATAAAGGTGAAATGGAAAGTCACGTAAATATTAGTCAATCACAATAACCATAACGATTGGAGTGAAATGTTGAAGCAAAAATATCAGCAATCTACCCTAACGATAAATGTTAATCTTCGATGTTTTTTCATGAAAAGCAACTTCTGGTGAAACAGTAACGTAGTAATTTTATCATTACGATTATACGAGTATTATTTATTGAAATAATAAGGATACAGTACTTACAATATTCGATTCACATCTTGATTGTTGAAGACGTTATTTCGGAGCTGTCTCCATATATATTTCAATTGGGGCATTCCCATTTTGTCCTTCAATTATTTTTTTTGAATGGCGTGATTTCAACTCATGCTGGAGCCATATTTTACCTCCAATATAAGTAATTTTTACCAAAAAACACAATTAATTAGCCTCTACGGTTTCATGCTCCATTTTGCCTTCCCCGNTATTTCAATTGAGGCATTCCCATTTTGTCCTTCAATTATTTTGTTTGAATGGCGTGATTTCAACTCATGCTGGAGCCATATTTTACCTCCAATATAAGTAATTTTTACCAAAAAACACAATTAATTAGCCTCTACGGTTTCATGCCCCATTTTGCCTTCCCCGCCCCTATATAGCGGTGATGTTTTATCGATATGTTGCTCCCTGCCTTATCTTCCAAGGTCGATAAAGCAGAGTTCGCCATACCATTCGGCTAAATCGAAAATCCGCAGTATTTTTAAGCGCCTGATTCGAATAATCTCAAACTAAAAATTACATTAAAGAATAGGCTCTTGGGTTGGAATAGTTGAATACATGTTGTACGATAGTATAATTATACGGGAAATATATAACTACTATTATTGATTTTTTAGCGTCATGCTCAATAATACAATTTCATGGATTCTGCTAGTTCCATTTCTATAAGGAGATCAATGCAAAGGTTCTTACAAGTTCTAATTCCCGTTAACGTAATCCAAGAACTGAAGACTAAAGAAATTTTCGTCAAAAAAATTCATTGGTAGATATATTATTCTTAGGATTACTTTCTTGGCTGGAATCTATATCCGTTATCATTTTTAATCACATAAAACCGTCAAATACTGTTGTAATTCCGCCGGTAAACTCAGACTACAGTTAATGACCTTACAGTTATCAATTTTTTACCGTAAATACAAGTAAGAAGATATTAGTTCATCAAGAGTAGTCATATCTTCAAGAGTACATTGAAGTAATTCTTGATTGGAGGCATTAATTAATTCCGCTGCCTAACTATTTTGTATTCAAATGTTCAGCATGATATTTATTCGTGGCTGCGGTATATCACTGGCTTGAAGAGTCAATATAATAGTTTTTTGTTTTATTATCACAATTCCTAAATATGTCGTATTAGTAATTGATATGGCTACATCGGCG